GAGAAGGGGACAGGTCACCTGCCCGCTGTTTAAAGGGCTGATGGAGGGTCAGAGAGCCAGATGATGGGCTCCCCAGAGCCTGCAATCTAGGGTGAGCCTTCTCTCTCCATCCACACTTCCCAGGGCTGCGGGAGCCATACCTGCTTCCATTTCTGTGATACCTCAAGTAACCTGGCGGGTGTTTACTCAAAGGATTCTTCACTTGTTCTTCCTTAGTGTGCCTTCCACACAATTTGGTTTAAAAAGACAGCACCCTCATCCTCAAAGAACTTAACCATTTCTGGAATGTCAGATGTACATGATAATGGTAGTAATGAGCTAATATTTATTGAGCACTTACAATTTGCTAAGCCCTTTACCTGGATCAAAAACTTCCATGGGAAACTGTGATTATCGTGGACATTTTACAGAAGAGAAGATGGAGCAAGTTCTGTATCGCTCTGGGGTTTCACCATTGTCTTTCTGCTCTGTCATCTCAAAGTCTAATGATCCATGCTACCCATTTTTAAAGGACAGTTCAAAACATTTGTCCCAACTGTCTATTACACTTTGAGATCCACTTCCCTTTTTAAAAGTAGGTTTAAAGGTGGGTATAGGTGGACAAGCTGATATTTAATGTCAGAAGCACACTAATACTGCTTATTAGAGAAACTGAGAGTTAAGGAGGGCTGGACTGGTTGAGATGACCACTTGCAAGATGAAATCTGACTCCTCATCACTCCAGCAGCTTCCTGCATCAACACCTATCCTGGCTTCAATTTCCACAGACCTTGGCAGGAGGCGATTCAGCAAGTCTTGACTTGGGCAGGCTCTGCACCTCACGGCTCATGATTTCAGGGGGCCGTGTCGATGACTGCTTTCCCAGGAGAAGCTAGTCTTGATGCTCCCTCGCAGCCCTTCTCCCTTTCCACCTAGCTCCTCTCCTCCATTACAGTGATTCTGCTTAGAGCTCACACCAAGCCCCACCTGAAGGCACCATCTTTAATTGACCCAATCCTCTTTCTCTGGCCTCTCTTCACTAATGGTGACTGAAAGGCCCCTCCAGCTTTCACAGACACAGAAAATCGCCGTACATTTGCGTGTTGTCATGTGAGGATGATCCTCTAAGAAGGATAACAAGGCCAGGTGTTCTGGTTAAGAACCCAAGGGCTCCGTGGAAGAGCCAGAGGCTGAGAGGAAGAAGCTAAGAGTACCTACCACTGAGATGTGAATGGTGTGCAAGTACTTCAGGTCCTGAGTTAATTGTTTCTATCTTTCTGCCACTGAGGACTTTGGTTTGCAAACTAGTGTGAATAGCTTTAGTGGGAACAAGAGAGAGAGTTGGTGATGGTTGCTTTGTGAAACTTTTGCATGAGGAAGTGATATTTTTCCTGACTTGGTTGTGTATTTCCTAACCATATACTTAGACATTCATTAAATGTTATTATATATGTAGCCTTGTGCTGTATACTGGGCAACCCACACAGAGAAGGAAGGTGGCTACATTTCTGAATACTGCCTGGGATACATTTAGTGTCCTCAAAATTTTCAGGGCTAATGCATTATTTCTTATCCCTGGGAAAGCTCTCCATTGGTTACCATTCGGCTATCATAAACCATGAAAAATGGTATATAAAACCATGGTATATTAAAAATATAAAACTTTCATAAACCATGGTGTATAAAAATTAAATTTTATCAACAAGAACAAAATTAGTCTCCTTTACCAATCACCCGTAAGATAATATAGCTGATCAGTCATGTCCCACAGTGGATCTTCTTCCCTGAGGCTATAAACCTTGACCTCAGGAGGCTATAAACCTTGACCTCAGGAGAAAATCAGTTCAGTTCAGTCACTTAGTCGTTCATTCTGCAACCCCATGAACCGCAGCACGCCAGGCCTCCCTGTCCGTCACCAACTCCCGGAGTTCACCCAAACTCATGTCCACTGAGTCGGTGATGCCATCCAACCATCTCATCCTCTGTCNGGTGACAGTATACAGCGTCGACGTACTCCTTTCCCTCTATGGAACCAGTCTGTTGTTCCGTGTCCAATTCTAACTGTTGCTTCCTGACCTGCATACAGGTTTTTCAAGAGGCAGGTCAGGTGGTCTGGTATTCCCATCTCTTTCAGAATTTTCCACAGTTTATTGTAATCCACACAGTCAAAGGCTGTGGCATAGTCAATAAAGCAGAAATAGATGCTTCTCTGGAATTCTCTTGCTTTTCGATGATCCAGGAGACACTTTCATTTATTAAAATGATAAAACGTCCTGTTGTCCCCATGTACCACTAAAATGACCCAGAAAGTTCAGAACTGAATGAATTGATCCAGAAAAGCATTAGAATAGAAAATACACCCTCAGCTATGATGATCAAAAAGGCTACTTGTCCAAAACTGAGGAGGACTCTGGAAAATACCTGGCAGTAGCCCTCATGATGTGTGCACACCTGTGTGTGTTGGGTGGAGGTGGGCTATTATATGAGGGGGAAAGGGGCTGTGGCCACCGGCAGGTGAATTGCTCTAACCCCAAAGTCACAGCAGTTGCAGTAGCAATAAGCTGTGGGTCATTATCACAATAGTAATAGTTCCCTTGTCTATAGTTTTAAGGTTGATGAAGCGTCTGAAGATAATGAAGAGACTTTTTTCTTGTGTCACAACAAAGATGAAAGTCTTTCCACATTTTCTTCAAGGTTAGGTTCAAATTTCGTCTCCTTGATAAAGCCTTTTCAGACCAATCCAGCTTCTAATACCTCAGCAACCAGAGATGATAACTGAAAGTGGAATATCACCCTCCATGAAGTCGCTGAAGGAAGAAGGCGCCCGTTTATTCCTTCAGTTCTCTCTCTGCCTTGCCTGTAATGCCCCCAGGCCCGTCCAGGCTTGGACAAGTGCGGGAGCTCATTGACCTTCCGGACCCTTGCTCCTCTCTCCCTGCGTCTGTCGTGCTTACGCTCCCCACGGCTTTTGCTCTTTTCAGATCTGCTTAATGTGCCTCACCCCTTCACTCAGCAGAGGCTAAGGACCTACCGTGTCTCAAGCCTGGTGCTAGGCAGGGATTATAACAAAAGGCGGGCAGAGCCTTTAGAGATGCCTCGTCTAATGAAGGGCTGTTCAGCTCAGCAACTTCAACAGCAGCGTTGTTCCAAATAGTCAGGAGCTATCCCGTGAACCAAATGCGATGTATCTTCTCTAAAATGACCCATGACTGGAAATACCTAGTGTAGAGTCTCTAGATACATTTTTCTTCTTAGCCAGGGCAGAGAACTGAATAAACTAAGCTTTTAAGGAGAACTCTATCAGAACTTTCACATGTGAGCAAACTTGAGCCACAGACTGATATATCTTTATGAACTGTCTCTGTTGAGAATAAAAAGAAAGCAAGTATCCATACTTTTTCTTCAATTAGACCTACTCTCTCAGCACCTCCCCTCTTGGGTCACCTTTTCCAGAGAAATGTGGTGAGGATGCTGTGAATACTGGGTGTGGGGCACCAACCAGCATGCTGCATTCATTCTTGCTAGTAAGGAAGTGAAAAGGGGGAAAGCACTTAAAACCCCCAAATGTGAATCATTTAAAAATATAGAGCCAGCCATTCATTACCCAAGCATAGATTATCTGTGAAAAATCTGCAGTGCCAGGATGGCTTCCTCTTACTGCCCAGCGTTCTGTTAGTCTAAGTGCCCGAGGTCACAGCTGTTGGCCAGCTCAGCTCTCCCTGCCATAGGCCCCTGAAGACAGTATGGTCTGTATTAATAAAAGTCCCACCCAGAGTCTCCTCTGGGCTGACACCATGTCTCAGTGAGAAAGGAAAGCTGGCGCCTGCTTCATAGGACCCCGCACCCCATGCCCTCTCTGCAGGCACCACTCGCTCCTTTCTCTGCCCTCCTGACGTGGGCCTCGGAGGGTGGGAAGGAAGGAGGGAAGGAGAGCATTCCTCCCGTGGACCTGGAGTCCCAGCACAGACACAGAGTCCTCGGCATTCCTCCCAGCACAGCCGAGCAGGGGCTGGAGCTTCCAAACCCCACTCTGGTGAAGCTTGGGGACAAGGAGAGCACACACAGCGGCTGCTCCTGTCTCCCACCCTCAGCATCTGCACGTCCTGCCTTCAAACAGGCAGCTCTGCTGTTTCCATGGAGCTCGAGGACCGCTGGCGTGTGCCATCATGTATGTGCAATTTGATGGAAGTAGGAATGAGAAGAAAAGAAGTGACTAAAATAGGTTCGCTTTTGTATACCTAGGGTGATATTTTCAGTACTTCAAATCTCTACCCAGAGAAAGGACACAGTCCTTCCTTTATACACTGTTCCTTTGAACTCCTCATAGTTGGCAAATTAAAAAAATTAGAGAAGCATTGTTGATACAGTCCAACAGAAGAGTTATGTTGGGGGAGACTGTGTGATACATGGTGACTGATGATGTGGTCTCTGGTGTCCAAGGACCTGAGTTCATTATCCCAGCTCCAGCACCCATAAGCTGTGTGTGCCTTGGCCAACCTTTCGTCTTAACCCCTCAGTTTGTCCATCCGTAAAATGGGGATGAGAACAGCACCTATCTTGTAGGCCTCATGTGAGTTAAATGAAATAGTCCGTGGCAGACTTGGGATAGTGCTTTCCATATTGTAAATACTCCATAAATACTAACCAAGTCATTATATCTTTATCATTACAGTGAAGCATACTTTGAGCAATTGCTTTTCAGAGAAGTTTTTCTCCTTTTCAAAAGGTTGTGTTCAAAGAAGCTTCGATAGCTTTGCAGTTTTTACCTTGAGTTTAAAATTCCCTGTACAACAGGAATAAAATCTCATGAATCCATCCCTCCCTGCTCCACCTCTGAGCCTGGGCTCAAGGCAGCCACTCCCTGACTTCCTCGGGGACACTTTTATTTGGAGGCAGTTTGAAAAATGCCGAGATTCAAACAAAGTAGCAGCTCGTCCATCGTCGCCCAGGCCTGAGTGTGGTTATCTGGGCAGGGGTCCCACCGCGAGTAAGCTGTATTCTCCTCGTCACTGTCTCGACAGCTTTGTGGGAAGGAATTCAACCGGATGCACAACCTCATGGGCCACATGCACCTGCACTCCGACAGCAAACCCTTCAAGTGCCTGTACTGCCCCAGCAAGTTCACCCTGAAGGGGAACCTGACGCGCCACATGAAAGTGAAGCATGGGGTCATGGAGCGGGGCCTCCACTCTCAAGGTAATCGCCCTCCAGGAGGCCCACGGTGGCTGGGCCCAGCGAGTAACACACGGGGAGCTGAGCTTGCCTTCAGGGAGCTCTACTCTGGGGGGTGGTTCTTACATTCAGAAAAGGGAGCATCATCTTCAAGACCACAGCAGAGTAGCAGGAACAGGTTGGCAACAAGCTCTAACAAACTGTATTCAGAGTTAATACCTGAAGGTTGTAGGTAAAAGTGATGTAGATTAGAGTATCATAATGGTGCCAGTCGGTTCCACTCTTCCTTCTGTGTTCCAGACCCTGCAGCAAGTGCTCTGTCTCTGTGAATATGTATAGTAACTCCAGGCTGCAGGAACTCCTATTATCCCCACATTACAGATGGGGACGCTGAGGCTTTGAATATTACCCGACTCAACTGAAAAGTGGCTGACTGAGAATTTGAATGCAGACCTTTCTGACTGTAAAGCCATGCTGTATCCTCTTTATCGCACTGCTGTTAAGGGGCAGGTCTGCAAGTTCTGCTGATAGCTGAAGTGTGTCTGTAGCAGGCTAGGTCTCATCCACCTGCTCACAGTCAGAAACATGAGGACAGTTTTCCTGCCTGGGAGGGCTGGTTGGCCACAGGCCGAGCAGGGGCTTCTGTTTCCCCCACTGAGTCCTAACTGAACTGATGGGAAGTTCCTGCCTCCTGTATCTTCTCAGTCCCTTTCTTTGCAGGAAAGAGTCACTTCCAGAAGTACTGACTTCAGTAGGTTGTCCTTCAGTAAATGGGCAGTAAATGCTCTTTGTCCAGTGTGGCGTGCTCTATGCCCTGGCAGATACAAGGGGAACTAAACCATCTTTGTTCGCCCTTTGGGAGGTCTGTGTGTGGGGAGAGAAGACACACATATATGTAACTTGCAGTACCATGTTAACTGGCTGATGTTTGCCGATTTTTGTATGATCCAAGCACAGGGCAATGCACTTAGATGTTACTGCTTGTCCCCAATATTCCACAAAGTAGGCGGTGTTCCTCTCATTTTATGTACGAGGAGACTGTGGCCAGGAGGTGTTACAGAGCTGCTCAAGGTCAAGCAGCAAGGTGAACGCAGAATTGAGATTCTAACTCAGGAATTTCTGGCTCGAGCCAGTGCTCACTGCACTGGGTAAAAACATGGTGGTTTGTTCATATTTGCTGCTTCTTCCACCCCTTTACAAACGATGTGGTCAACTAGGCACCCATATTCATAAGTAGGATACATGCATGCACACCCAGCATGAAGCAAAATGATTGTAGCTTTCAGATTTCTGAAACACCCACTGAGATTGTGATGACTCCTGGGTGACAGGAAATTGATCATCCTAAAACAAGGCCTGGAGTTTGTATAAAAGCCCTGAAAAAATGCTGGTTAAAAACAAAAGCATTTTTTCCCCTTGAGAATGTTCTTTTCCTGAATTATCCTTTGCATCCAGCTATTCTGGATTTTTTCAGAATTAGGTGAAGTTTGCTCAGCCACCATGGCTGGAGACGTAGAAGGCAATGAGGAGACAGGGCTGCATCTGACAGTCTGACTTGGTCACCAGAACTTACCCAGTGTGGATGCTCACATCCTAACAGGCACCTAGAGACTGTCATTCTTCTGGAAAAATCAAGAGCATCACTATATATCAGAGAGTTGCTTTGAAAGTTTGTAACAGACTTCTGACAATGTTAATGCTTTCATCTACAAAAGGTTTTGGCATTTCTTCACTCTAGTTTTTGAAATAGCTCAAGAATCATGACCCAGATTAAAAAGATCCTCCTTGTGTCCCTGACAAGATTAAAGCTACAGATGGCTTCATCGCCTGACAACACCGTAAAGTAGGCAGACTGGACATCAGCTTCCTTGGCGTGTCCCCACCCCAGCAGCCTGCTTCTCCCTGGGCACCAGGGTCTGGCCACCCCCGGCCCTCCCTGCTCTCCTCCTCCGCACGCATCCCCACCTGCTCCTCCTGGCCTGGCCGCTGGCCCACCGTGGACAGACACCTCCAAGACCAGATCAGGTCGAGCCTCCCACGTGTCTGTCGGCTGCTGGAAAGTCCATCCCTGGAAGTGAGGCCCGCTCCCCTTACCGTGTCCAGCAGCAAGGACACTTGTGGTTGGACGTGGGGCTTTCGAACTCCTCACCGGACCTTCCTCTGCCCTTCCAGCTCTGTCTGTGCTTAGGGAGTCTGGATATGGGGTGGCCTCTTTGGGCCCAAATGCAATGTTTGGTTTTTTTCACAATGAAAATATCTTTGTTATTTTTTTGTTATGGTAAAATATGTGTTCACTGTTAAAAGTAAAAAGAAATATATTCAAAGTGAAAAGAAAAATGTAAAAGTCACCTCATAGTTACCCTATTTTTGAGATTTTGACATATCCTTCCAGACATTTTTTGATAGATAAAATAGAGTCTACACTAGAAATATATATATTTTTACTTAAAGTATATAGAGAATACCTTTTATGAGCACAAATGGGTATCGACATATTATACACATAGAAATACCTTCTACACACATAATACCTTGCATGTTCTTTATGGTCTGACCCACCAGGGAAGCCCCATGGAGGTACTACTATTTACTTAAACAAACCTCTGTCCTTAAATTGATAAGTTGTTTTCACCCCATCTGTATACAGTTTGTGCATCTGCCAGGCTATTTTCATAGTTCTCAGTCATGTGATTGGCTAAGTCAAAGGTGTGCTTATTTTTAAAGTTTTTCGTGCATGTTGCCAAAATCCCCTGAAAGGAGTCACACGGATATTGATTCCAGCTGTGACAAAGCCCGGCTCTCTACAGCCTTCTGGGGATTTATCTAGTTTTAAAATGCAAAATCAAGCTATGCTAACCAGCCCTGGGTTCCACCCAGCGACCCCTTCGGTGGCCTGAACGTGCCTTTGCTCCTGACAGGTTTTGGAAGGGGGAGAATTGCGCTGGCGCCGACGGCGGGGGGCCTGCGGAGCCTGGAGCAGGAGGAGCCCTTCGACCTGTCCCAGAAGCGCCGGGCCAAGGGGCCAGCCTTCCAGTCGGACGGGGAGAGCGCCCGGGGCAGCTCCTGCCACGAGGAGGAGGACGAGGACAACTGCTACGAGGTGGAGCCGGACAGCCCGGGCATCGGGCCCCGCGGCCCAGCGCTCTGCGCGCCCCAGGACCTGCCTGCCAAGCCCGAGCCGGGCCCCGGGGAGGAGGCGCCCGCCGAGGAGGCCGCGCCTCCGGGGGCCCGCCCGCTGAAGAGCCGCGACAGCCTGGGGCCCGAGGGCAGCCCCGAGCGAGAGTTCTCCCGCAGAGACGAGCGGCCCGGCCTCAGGGTCCTGCCGAGCACCCGGCGGGGCCCAGCCTTTTCTGATTACTTGTACTTCAAGCACAGAGATGAGAGTTTAAAAGAATTACTGGAGAGGAAAATGGAAAAACAAGCAGTGCTTTTGGGGATCTAAGTGGACGGTTTAGGAATGACACTTGGAAAATGAGAACTAGGCAGTGCAAATACAGCTTTCCGCATGAACTCTCATTTGCTGGAGACGAGAAGGGCACGAATCTTGACAAAGGGCGCAGACTAAATGAGCAGGGAAGCAAATGCTTCTCGGGTCTCGCATTTGGGCCCTTGATGTTTAACACACATGGAGGGCCTTCTTCAATGTTGTTTCATGGATCTCCAGTACAATTAACTGTACATACTCACTCTTCTGGACATCTAACTGTAAGCTGATGCTGAGGTGCTTTTAGAAATTCTACTTTCCATTGACTAACATGGTTGATTTCTTTCTAGTTGCAAAAATATGGTGCTTGACATGTTACTTTATTAATGACTCTTTAGTTGAATTTGTGAAAGTTTATGTTTTTCCAGATAGATGAAAATAGTAGTAGTGGTATATATTTTTAAAATCACTTTATTAAATAATCAAAAAATAGCCGAAATGACAGAGGAGGGTGAGTTTTTATTTTTATTTTTTTTACATTTCTTTTTTTCCCCCCATTTATTTGAGGGTGAGTTTTTAAAGAGGATGGTCTTGAGTAGTTGCTGCAGATATAAAATTTCAAGAGAAAGTGATTAATTTTGATTAAGGAAAATCCAGCAGGACTTAGATTCCTGCCTGGGTCTGCCTTGTTCCGCTTCGGCTCCCTTCATCAGATGTGGCATTGGAGCATGCTTGCAGATGGTCCAGCAGTACTGAGTGTCTGCAGGCTAACTCTGAGTCCTGAGCAGGGCTCCCTCCTGGAGACCTTGCTCCAAGGCCTCATGCCCTGTAAAGCAGCTGCAGGAAGAGTTGGCACCCTGTGAGCAGTGGATTTCTCATTAGTGCTGGAGCTGCAGGGTGGTGGGGGGCGGGGAATTCTCCCTGAGATTGAAGCTCTAACTTATCTAGAGTATTGGAATAACCATCACTAGGAAAGCAGCTGCGGAGCTGTGTTCCCAGTGCTGCCTGCCCATTAGAGTCAGCTCAGTATAGTAGTGTTAGCTACTCAGTCGTGTCCAACTCTTTGTGACCCCACAGACTGTAGCCAGCCAGGCTCCCCTGTCCCTGGGATTCTCCAGGCAAGAATACTGGTGTGGGTTGCCATTTTCTTCTCCAGAGGATCTTCCCCACCCAGGAATCAAACCCAGGTCTCCTGCATTGCAGGCGTATTCTTTACCATCTGAGCTATAGGGAAGTCCCAGAATCATCTCAGAGAGACTTTTTAAAAAATACTAATGCTGGGGCCCTGAGCCTCTGAGGCCCTGATTTAACTGGTCTAGAGTGGAGCTCTGGCATTGGTTATTTTCCAAATTGCCCCAGATGACTCTTATGTGTAGCGAGAGTTGAGAAAGATCAACTAGGATAAAATAGTGGCTTCCAAGACCCCCTTGCAAGGATTCCATAAGTATTTCTGCTTCTGGCTTTACTCATTAAGATAGAAAGCAGGAGACCTTGCAATCATTCTGCTGACTTAGGCCTTCTTACCTGTTCTGTCAGAGCCTCACGAGAGGAGACACACACACATGCTGTATAAACACACTTTTTTTTTTTTTTACTAGGAGATGATGCCTGTGATGTTTATGATCACTTAATATGTTTAAAAATACATAGTCAGGCTACAGTGACTAATTATTTCTTCCTAGATTCGTGAATCATGATTCCAGTGAGTGGTGGTGACTGTGAAGTGTGGTTTGCGCCCAGCAGGTGGGCTTTCCTTAGGCACTGGATTCTGACAAATAAAGCAGTGCTGACAAGATGTCACATACATGTGACTGCCCATAAGCAGTGACCCTCTGGTACTGTGTCTGTGTTTATGTAAAAACTGCTTCTTGGTAGTTTCAACTCTTATTTGTAGAGCTAGGTACTGTTTATTATTTGCTTCTCCTCCCAAAATTCCCAGTACATTTCATTAGACAGTCTGACCCATCTCTGACTGTGGGATGCCGTTTTTTTCTCTTGGTCAAGGTGCTTCCCCATCAGCCTCATCTAGTTCTCATCAGTCACGCATGCACTTTGTCAGTCCCCGAGGCAGTTCCTCCTGCCACTTTGCTTAGGGCTCCTTCCTCCAGCATTACCACCACAACTTGCCCAAGCTGCTTGAGTTCCCTGCAGCCGTCCTCGTCTCAGGGTCAGGGCACCTGCAAGGGGGTGGTAAAGGGAGGAGCGTGGGTTTCTGCCGTCACCAGAGCAACTGCGAGTCAAGAACCCATCCAGAGGATCCAAACCTATCCTTCCAAGGGGCTATTTGCTTTCCATTCATCATTTTTAATATAGCTCATCAGTGCCTCCAGTGACATCACTGGGAGGCTGGCAAAGTGGTCTCTGAAGCCTCCAGTTCTCAGGGGCCTGTTACATATTCATTCTTTCAGCAGCCAGGTGTTGAGCGCCTGCCATAAAGCCTGCAGATTTCAGTTTGTTCTGAGTGTGCCAAACTAGAATAGGAACTAGGAGATCTTGAATAGCAAGTTATAGACTTTTCCACCCAAAAAGAGTCAGGTGGGAGTGTTTGAGGAACAAGTTAATGTTGAGATGGAAAGAGCATGGTCCAGAATGGTGGTTTCCACATTGTGTGTTGAGAAGCAAGAGGTCCTCTTAGGCCTTCTAGAGCTGCTAGAGGAGGAGAAATTCTCAGCCTTCATCCCCACTTCACTCAGAGCAGCTCCAATTCCATCTGTTTTATTTGTTAGACTTCCAAGTAAAATTTCATTTGGAGGAAGAAAAAAGGCTCTAGGAAAAGTAATAAAAAAAAATTGTTATGGAATGTATTCTCAAGCCTGTTTTTCATTCTTGACTCTGAGAGACTATAAGAGACTTAGATATAATTAGATATTACCTGCTGATTAATACGCCCTGACCTTCCAAGAACCAAGTCTAAAACCTTGGTTTTGTGTGTGACCAACATCCTGATTTGCCTGGAACAACCCAGGTTTATACCTCTTGTTCCCACATAGTCACTAAGAGTGTCACCTTAACTCTCAAAAATGTTCCAGTTTGGGTGATGAATTATATGGGCACCCTATGCATAAGTACAGAGTACAGAGCTAAGGGAAGGGATGGCCAGCCTTGCTTAGAGCTGTTAATAATGAGCCAGAACGCAAGCCTGGAAGAGAAGCCATAAGGCCTTTCTCAGAGAACTAAGGGATGAAACCAAGGTCATCAGCACTTCCCGGGCCAGGGTAGCATGACATCGATCACATTGTGACGCTATGAAAGTAGGCCACTGCCGATGCTTTCCAGGCTTTTGACTGCTGTCTTTGAACCAACCAACTGACCCATCCAAGTGGCATATTTTCTGTTGATCTTTTTATTCTAGCCTATGATTGCCCCCTTTTGTTGCCTTTCAATTCATTCTCTGTTTTTAAAAATTTGCCTTCCCACTGGCCGTGAGACTAAGGCTGACCTTCCATGATCTCACAAGGGTATCCGGTATATTTGTATATGAGTAGTTGCGTGAGGCAGCCCAATGTGCACACTGTATTTATTAAGCCCTGAAGGCATTTAATAAAATATTAACATCGTGTTTTGAATTATGATCTTTGTCTGCTTTGCTGGAACAAAATGTAACAGAACTAACATTTAAAATCCTTCACATATTTGGACAATATTACACCAAATGTTGATTTTGTACAGAATTCTGGCTTGCTATTTAAAACTAAAACTTGAAGTATTAACAACCCAAGTTGTGAATATTGCTTTCTGCTTCAGTGAAAAAGCAGTTTACCTGAAAATAGCATGTAACCTATATTTTGTTAATTTAAGCAAATAAACACATGTTGGAAAAAAAAAACTCTACTTAATCATTTGCGAACACCTGAAATTTTACAAGGAAGCTGCCATTCTCAGCGTCTCATGCCTGCCCTCAGACTTCTCGTCTGAGTGGTTCCTACTGGGGTGCGTCTGGGCCCCAGGGAGACAGGGGTGATGGATTCTCCCTCCAAGCTTCAAAAACAGACGAATGAAACCCTGCCCAGCAGCAGGCAGGTGACATAGTCCTCACCCTCTTCTCTCCTATTAGAAAAACTAGTTCTGGAATGGTGTCATGGACAAGTGAGAGGGTAGAGGCAGCATGATGTCGCTCTGTGTCAAGTTCTTTGTACAATATATGCTGTAGTGGGCAAGAGCACAGACCCTGGTGCCAGGTTCCTGGGTTCAAAGCCCAGGTCTCCCACTTATAGTCTTTGGGACCTGAGGCCAGTTTGTGAACTTCTCTCTGTGCCTTAGTCTCCTCATCTGTAAAATGTGACCAGGAACAGCACCTTCCTCACCAGGTCATTTTGTGGGTTAAATGAGGCAATACATGAAGACACTCATGTGCATGGCTCACAGTATACGCCTCGTAAGACTTAGCTATCATTATTAACATCAGTGAAGCGGCCAGGAAATGGAACACTCCACTCCCCCTCTACAACAGAGCACCCCCAGAGCTATGTCAGCATGGGAAGTTGTCCACTTCTGAGGAAACTTTCCTTTTAAACGTTATATGCTCTTATATGCCAAGCAATGTGCCGGGTGGCTTGCATGCTCAGTCTCATTTAAACCTCACACAACCCTGAGAGGCAGAGGTTGTTGTCTCCACTTTACTGATGAGTGAAATAACTTACTCTGAACAGCCTCGTTAGCAGGTTCTTCCTTTGCCTGCCAAGCATATAGCCTGTAGCAGGTTCTCTGGAAGCACATGCTAAAACAGATTTGGGTGCAAGATATTTATTAGGGGTGAGCACCAGTTAAAAGAAGCGCGAGGAAAGAGCTCTGAGTAAGAGAGAAGCAGGACCGTACTGCTCTCACCCGACATGGCGGCAGCTGGAGGCAAGGTCCTCTCATCAGAGTTGTGCCGCGCTGGGCAGAGACGCTCAGGCCTCGGTGTCCCCCCAATCCCCACCCCTTGCCCCGTCAACAGAAGCTGAGCTCCCAGGCGGAGCCTGACCTCAGGAAGGTGTGACTGCACGGGCAGACCCTGAGAGAGTCAGGGAGCTGGTGGCCAGAGGCGTCTGCTGACTCCACTCCCCGCAGCTCAGCGCGAGGCCCTCTTTGAAGAGAGACTGGGTGACTCTGCGTCTGCCACAGCCTACCTCTTGCATCACTGCAATCCACTTCCTCATGTGCAATCACAGAACACCGCCTCCAGGGTTCCAGTAGGCCTCTCTGCCTGAGGGAAAATGAAGAAAAGGGAGATTCGTGGAATAAACTTCAGCCCTGCTGCGGCAGTCAGTCTCAGAGACACATGGATGCTCATTTCCTCCTTCCTCCATTACCTGTCTAGATCCATCTCACTATCAGATACCACCTCTGCCCGGGTCAGCGTGACCCAGACCCTCATCTCCAAAGGGCCTGAACCTTGGTCATGGTTTTCTGCAGACTGAGTGCTTTGGTCTCTCCTTTTAATTTATATGTTGAAACATTAACCCTAGTGTGATGGTATTTGGAGGTAGGACCCTTGGGAGATAATTGGGTTTAGATAAGGTCAGAAGATAGAACTGCATCATGAGACCAGTGCTAAGACCAGAGTCCTCTCTCTCTGCACTGCAAGGATGCAGCAAGGAAGCGGCTGTCTGCAAACCAGGAGGAGGGTCCTCACCAGACACAGGAGCTGTGGGCACATGATCTTGGACTTCCCAACCTTCAGAACTGTGAGAAATCAGTGTTTGTTGTGTTAGTCAGTCAGCCTGATGTTTTGTTATGGCAGCCCAATGGACTAAGATAGGTGCTCTTCTCAGTCAGGTTACTGCGCTTGCTCACTTACAGTCACGGGTGGGGAAGGACACAGCGAGAGAACCCCAGGTGGGCTCCACGTTCCCCCCGACCCCTCCCATGCCAACTGCTCTTCTCTCTCCTGAGGATCAGGTGATTTACCTCTGCCGAGATGGTGACTCCTGCCCTTGTCTGCAGAGTCCCTGGAGACACGGAATAAAAAGTGCCCAGGTGACAGACGTGGCTTATCATTAAATGGCCCTCTTGCTGTGCCACAGGTGGAAGTGTACCCTCTTTGAGCAGGAGCACTTCTAACCCTCCAGAGCCCAGAGTCACAGCGATGAGAAATACTGAGTCCCCCACCGTGTCACTACGAGTGAGACCAAGTAGGGCCACTCCTGCTTCCACCCTTGGTCCCGGATCCGTGCATTCTTCCCGTTGAGAGCATAGGACCACATAAAAGTCTTTGATTCAGTGCATATGCTGGAGGATGACACTCCATCCTTGTGGAGTACTTCCTCCAAGAAGAGCTCTAGGCAGCTGGCCCCTTCTAGGTGGTATGTGTGTGATATGACCTGTAGATCCTGTGGTCATGGGCCCATCCGTCACCTCATATGCTGTAATGTGAATGCTATGGTTTGATGTTACACTATGTAAGATTCTGTGTCCATAAAACAAATACTCCATAACCATACACTTGCATAATCATGCTGGCTGAGGTCCTCCTACCAACAGGAAGGGCAAACCTACATATGACATATATGTCTATTCCTGTGAAAAAGTCCCTTCAAGTCAAAAGGGACTCAACAGAGTCAGCTTCTCACCAAGTGACTAATTGTGCTTCTTGAGTAATGCTGCCGTGTTGGAAGCTCGGCACCATTCCTTGTGGCTGGTATGGTGGATATTCAGCACTAGGCTAGCCTTGGAAAATGGAGTTCACGCTGTTACACTCGTGGGTAGCTTCCATCTGTGCCACCGTGGCCACTTCATATGTGCTTTGTCATAGCACCGGACTAGCTGTTGACAGAGGGTTGAAGTCAACTCGCAAGGTCACTTGTCTGCCTGACTTAATCTCTGCCTGACTTTAATGTCCTTTCGTGGTGAATGCTATCTGATGGGCATTAGCGTGTGATACAAAGATTCCCATTCTCTATGTTCACTCCCATGTATCTATCCACTCAACTCTAATAGGCAATAATAGTGAATATCTACTTTAATTAGAGTGGTCAGAGAGTGACATCTAATTTGAGAACTGAAGGGTAGAAGGGGCCAGCCATGGAAAAAACAAGGGGAAGAGCATTTCAGGCAGAACAGACAGCATGTGCAAAGGTCTTTGACTGAAGGGAGCATGGCCAAGGAAAGGACAGTGTGAAGGACACAGCAGGAGAGGGAGGGTGATGCAAGGTGAGGCTGGTACGGAGAGCCACCGAGCGGGGATGGAATAATGAGATTTACGTTTTCTAAAGCTCATTCTGACTATTGTGTGGAGAGTGGGTTGGAAGGAAGCCAGGCTGATGCTGGGAGACCATGAAGAGGCAGTTTGAATAGTCTGTGCAAGATGATACTGGCCTGGATTAGAAAGACAGCAAAGAGGAAGTTAGAAATGCATGGTTCTAAGCCTGTCTGGGGGCTTCCCAGGTGGTGCTAGTGGTAAAGACCCTGCCTGCCAGTGTAGGAGACATGAGAGACTTGGGTTCGATCCCTGAGTCGATGCCCTGGAGGAAGACCTGGCAGTCCACTCCACTGTTCTTGCCTGAGAAGCCCCATGGACAGAGGAGCCTGGCGGGCTATAGTCCAGGGGTTGCAAAGAGTCAGACAGAACTGACAGAACACCCACAAATCTGTTTGGAGGTCCAATCGGCTTGTTCTACTGAAAGCAATTTTAATTTTAATACAAAGATAAACATACATTTTTCCAAGTAAAAAATAAAATGCCACTTGGTATTAAGTTCATCTCCTCACATAATGATAGAAAGGGTGAATTAAATTTTCATAGCTATCATAAAACCCACGCTCTTTACTCGATTAGCAAGAGAACCTACTTGCCAAATAGTATATGTAAAAGTAAGTCCATCTGGTTTCTCTCAGTTTTATTCTGGGTTGTGATCAGTGAAAAAGGAAACAGTCAAGACTGAATGAAGCTTCTCAGACATGGATCCTGGGAAGAAACAGTAGTGGTGAGACAAAGGGGCGCGGAGTTAGAACTCAGTGAAGCGAGGAGAGGAGGCAGAACCCCAGGACCACAGATGAGGCTCAAGGAGTTCTCACCTCCACAGGCCCTGGGGCTGTCTCTGATCCAGCCAGTAAAATAGCACATGTTCCCGATAATGGAGTTGCACGGTCAAAGAGCAGTTCATCATCTCTTCCGTATTTATCAACTAAATGCACTCCAAATACATTTTCATTTTAAACTATTCAATTCTCAAAGGGTGACAGTCCAGTTGTCTGGAAAATTTTATCCAGTGCACACATTACTTTGCAACAATACAGAATAAATAAGATGTTGTCACATTTTAAGTCCCAAAGTGAATTGGTCCACGGCACCACAGAAAGCACCTTAAGAAGAAATAAAAAACAAAAACCTGTAGCAGGAGATTGTCCCTGACCTTAAGGAACACACAGCGCTTGCAGGCCTGTGGAGGCCGGCAGGAACTCAGCTCAGAACTCTCCAAATCTTGCTCCAAACCTCCGAAGCTTTAAAGCTAAATCTGTCCTCCCTGGAAAAACCCAGGTGGGAAGACAGCCTGGTTCCCTGAAGCACCGGGGTACTTCATTTTCTGCATAGCAGACCTGAGCCAAGAGTAGCTTCCAGTCCCATTCTGAACTTGCTCTGCAAGCGGAGGAAGACGAGCTCATTTGAGAGCTGGGGAGTGACCCTTATAGGGTCCCCGGGGACCCCGTATCAGTGGCGCTCACTGTTTCCTCTTCCCTGGATGCAACAATATATTAAGAGAGAAAAAAAGGAGGCTGGCTCTTTTTATGATTTTCCTTTTTCATTTTTGTTGAAAATGGAACTGTGTTCTCTTGATCCTTCAAACAAATGGAGGGGAAGTGGAAGCCCAAGAGTTTCTCTTAGCTTCCCCAGAGAGGGTGTCTGTG